TTGTCTTTCTTAGTGAAGAGTGTGGAGGAAATCCTTGGTGAGTGAAGCCAAGGTAGAGGACTAGGCTCCAAGTGGTTGGATCGAACCTCTATAAATTCATTGTGCAAGCTCTTCTTCTCTACTTTCTTTAACTTTGGTTTTGTGGTTGAAAAAGGGGAGAATTTTTGGAACTCCAATTCACCCTCCTCTTGGAGTACATTGAGTCAACATAGCCATGGTTGTGGATGATATCTGGGATGCCTAAATCAATGGCACATTTTAGTGACATTGAGTTTATGAAGTTGACAATGTGGTTCCATACATGAGCTTGAGCTTGAAGTAACTCACTATATTGCTCTCCCCTATTTGCTAGATCCATCTTAGCTTATCAATATGGTTTTAACATATGCTCAACCTGCTTAATATACTTAATATGCTAGCTTTTAATAAGGATTGTCATGCTCCAAATCACAATAAAATCAGGTTTGATAAGGCTTAATCATAACCACTTATTTGTATCACATGATACATGACTATGAATCACATGACAAATGACTATGAATCACATGACACATGACTATTTAATAATTTTTCCATTGATGGTATAATCAAATTTGGTATTCACAAGTAAGGCATTTAATATCTACATGTTATGATGTTGCTACATAGGCTTAATTCAATGATTAATCTATTAACTATTGACCTAATTTCATTTTAGTCTAAAAAGTTAGTTTTCTTTCTAAATGGTCCATAAACTTTGCAAAATATTTTAGAATTGTTTATTGTACAAAAATTCCATTAATTTTAATAGAAAAATAACAGAAAAGTTAAATTAAGATTAAAACAAAATAGTCCTAGCTAGCAAAGTAGCTCACAATAAATTGTACAAACTATTAAAGTATGTCGATAATTGTGATTTTTGCTATATGAGAGAATTGTTTAAAAGAAAAATTGAAGCAGCATAAGATAAATGTTATAGTTCTTCAGATAGTGAAAAGAAACTTATTATTCTCACAAAATTAGTTTTATCTCAAAATTAATTTCAATTAGTAAAAATTCACAAATGATATAGTTGAAGATTAATTTAATCAAACAGAGTGAAATTGTTGTTAGAAAGTTAACAGAGTAGACTAAAATGGAATAAAAGTAAAAGATAGTAGATGAATATGAAAATATTTTAAGAAAATAGACAAAACCGAAAAAAAAAAGAAGAAAAAGTACAACATTTATTAGACTGTTTATTAAATTAAGCCTTGCTATATATGTAGATTATATATTGCTATATATGGATATATATATTTTGCATTTTTGGTATATAATCTACATATACAGCAATATCATAATATATAGATATTAATTACCTTATAGGTGAATACCAAATTTGGTCCTAGTTTAAATTGAGCAATAATATTTAGTGTAATTTTTGTAAAACTTATTTATTTTGTAAATGAACAGTGATTGATACATACTTAATTTAATACACTACACAATACATTTATTAAAAAATTATTATTTTTTTGTCTAAATTTAGAGATAGACAAGTTTAAAAATACAATAATATACAGATGATGTAAGAATTAACTGAATACACAGATGATGTAAGAATTAACTGAATCAACTGTATTTATATTATATGTTTAATTGTTGAATTGAAAATGTATCTGAAAATGTGTTGAACTGAATGTATACCAATTATTTTCCTTTACAAATACATTTTATTTAATTTATATCTTTTTTTTCCATTTGTATAGAATTTTTTTTTTGTTTATATTCTTTTAAGGCAATTATTGTATCAGTTATTTTTTTACTTTATATATTTTGTAAAAACATTTTTTTAATTTAATCTTACAATTAATTTTGTTTTGAATCAAATAAATTAGATTTGGTAGAACAATTTCAGTTTTACAAATTTTTATCCCAAAATATTAAAAGATCTCTTAAATTTATCAAAATATCTATAAAGTAGTTATTTAATATTTTTTTTCTGGTCCCGCATTCGGTGGCCAAATGGCCACTCCCTTGCAAGGGACGTGCGTAGGACTACTAGACTTGGGATCAATCCCAAGTCCCCCCATTTCCCCAAGAAAAAATATTTCACACTGTTCAAAAAATATATATATTTATTTTTTCTGTATGTTTTATTTTATTATTTATTTTTAATAATAATATTCTCCTTCTTTTAAAAGGCATACATCTCAACAACCTTGTAAGTGGGTTTGATAATGCTAGTGATACTACGGTGACTGCTAAAATAAGAACTATGCTTATTGACAAAGCAGGACACAAACAAATACAAAGCATCAAATGAATTGAAGAAGTAACAATTAATTTGAAGTCTGTTAAGGCAACGAAAAAAGCTCATACATCATTGTATTCAACATACAATTATTGGTATTGTACAATTCTAACATGTTTAGAAAAAATGAGTGTTGTTTGACACCAGAGAGTTGACTCAAATCAATGGAATTGGTATTCCACTGAAAGTAAAGAATGAGAAGAAAATGTGAAGGTATAAATTGTGGCATCAGCATAAACCATGCCACACCCAGAAAGCTTCTGATGTTGTTCTTCATTGGGCGTAGAAACAAGAAGAATGAATTTGCATATCAGCTCTGTCAAGCAGTCTCATTTGTTCCCTTGCTTGGATTCACTGTACAGAACAACTCCCAGCACTGTAAGTGAATAGCCAAGCATTCCAATGAACGAGACAGGATTTCTGAAGATCAAGATAGAAACCACTACAGCAACAGCACCTTTTGCATTTCCAAGAACCTGAGATGGATTATACCAATACAAATCAACATCTGAACTACTTTTTTAGGTATTTTAGGAATCACAAATTAGAACCTTAATTAACTCGACTTCTAAAAAAGTTAGAATGTATATGTTTAAATTAACCTTAACTTTTATAGCAGAAAAACGAAGATAACATATATCTTTTTAAAGTTTAAAGTTTACTAGGATCATACTTGGAGAGTCAAGGCACTTGTGTGTTTGGTGACCAAGAAGTTGGTCAAGTTCACAAGATAAGCTAGAGAAGAATTGAAGAGCAGATAGTATACTATTTTGACATCTTTCCTTGCAAGAGCTACAGTGACACCAAGAACATTTCCCTCCATTAACAATGTGGTGGGAAGCAAGATCGCCAGTGCTATTGGCGCCATGTACATCAGCAAATTCATGGAGTTCAGCTTTTCCCTGAAAAATTAACGAAATCAAAGAACAAAAAGGGTAATTGTTTGCTGAAAATCTTGCAATTGCGATTGAGAGAAGAAAATTACTGTTCTGATGATAACAGAATAGCCTGAAGAACAGACTTAAACGCCCTTGCAGCCGTTGCCGACACACACATTACGAATCCAAACAGATTGAAACTCGGTTCAGCCTGCAATTTATAGATCCGATTAACTAATTTTATCTTCATTTCTCCTAATTGAATAGGCCAAAAAAAAAAAAAAAAGGGGATTAATTTTGTGAAAACGTTACCCCGCTAGCAATGATGACGCCGGCAACGACAGGAATTAGCGTGACGTACGTAATCCAGGCCTCCCGCTTCTGACTCATCAGGTACGCGAAGATCGCGGTGAAGAACGGCGTGGTGGCGCCGATGGCCTGGTTGAACGACACCGGGAGGTAGCGAAGCGACACGTTTCCGAGGACAACCGAGAAGCAGAAGACCAGACTGAGTCCGGTGATCTTGAAAAACTGTTTCTTGGATCCGATGCTCTGCATCGGAACCACCTTGGCCCAGGCTATGGCGGCGTAGCTGAGGAGGGAGCAGGCGAGCATGTGGCACATGGTCAAGAAGATCGGGTACTTGAAACCGTAGTTGCTGAGCAAGTACTTGTTCAGAAGCAGAACGCCGATGTTCGAACCGTACCAGGAAATCACGATCCAGATCGTCATCCATGGAACCAGGTTCTTCATAAGTTTAATGTTTCTTATTATTTTTCCTCCTTTAATTCGAGGAAGAACTGAGGAGGAGGAAGAGGAGGAGGAGGAAGGCAATGAGGCGGGAGCTTCCCTTGGGAAGAAGAGGGAAGATGTAACGGTAAGAATTCAATTTCGTGGGGCCCGTGTAACATTTTCGTGGGACCTACTCCCTAATAATGCAATTAATCGCCATTAAATGTTGATTTTATGGTCAATGTATTTGTATTAGACGGTTGCTGTCCGCTGATTAGCTGTTTCAAACGTGATGCATTTTATATTTCTTTTTTTTTAATGGTTTTTTTAATCAATACCTTAGCCATTGGTTAAGCATCTATACGTTAATTTGTATAAAAAATTATAATGGTAAATTT